TAAGACAATTCTAATAAGTTTTTTTTTTTTTTAAAGAGAAGTAAGCCTTTATTTCCTTGTTTTGCAAATAAAGCTGGCTGAGTTTGTTCTTTTTGGTGATTACTCAAAGAGACCAAATCCCATATCCTCGTCCGACTCCTCCAAGTCTTCCTGGGCTTCAACCTTGGGCAGGGCTGCAGCAGGAGCGGCAGCCACCACAGGGGCAGCAGCCACAAAAGCAGATGGATCACCCAAGGCCCTGATCATTTCAGCAAGCGGGAAGGTGTAATCAGTCTCCACAGACAAAGCCAGAACTCATTTGTACCCACTGATAATAGAATGCAGTACTGATGCAACAATTGGGTAACCAATCTGCAAACGCTGGCAACCTTGCGGACACCCCCCAGGAAGTGAGAATGCAGAGTTTCCTCTGTAATGTCAAGCACTTCAGGGTGGTACATGCTGCCATTGTCAAACACCTGCTGATGACCAGCCCAAAGGAGAAGGGGGAGATGTTCAGGATGTTCAGCAGTGTGGCTTCACTAGCTTCCACTTTGTCTCCAGTCTTAACCAGCTGACATCACTCACGATATCAATGGTACCTCTGGAGATGTTAGTGGTGATGCCTAAAGCCTGGAAGGAGGTCTTCTCTGGCCCCAGACCAGTGTTCTGGGCTGGTACAGTGACTTCACACGGGGCAATGGCCCCAGGATGAGCGGCAGCCAGCAGCATGTCCCTGATCTCAATGAGGTCCTCCTTGGTGAACACAAAGCCCACATTCCCCCGGATATGAGACAACAGTTTCTCTAGAGCTGGGTTGTTTTCCAGATGCCCTCGATGGCCTTCCACATCATGGGGTGCTTGCCCATCAGTACCACAGCACCCTTGAAGGGACATGTGGATCTGCTGTATATGCTTGGAGCCCACATTGTCTGCTCCCACAATGAAGCATTTTCGATAATTATCCAAAAGTTGGATGATCTTAAGGAAGTAGTTGGACTTCTAGGTTGCCCCGTCTTCCTTGGGCATCACTGTGGTACATCAGGGATTGCCACGCAGGGTTTAAAGACAACGTCACTCACACGAGGATACCTGGCAAGAAAAGGGCCTAAAAATTTTAAGCAGACAAAAAAGTCCAAAAGTATGAGCAGACACCTCACGCAGAAAAATGCAAGTAGCATATTTTTTTAAATTCTGCCTTCACTGGTAACTGAAGAATTTCAAATTAAGACAGATAAATACATCCAAACCAACAAAAATTCAATACAAATTGACAAAATTCAGTGCTTAGGGGAAAGTGCCTTTACATATTACCAGCTGATGTTATAACCAACAAACTAGTTACTGAAAGTCTGGCAATACACACGAAAAATCCAGGAAGGAAAAAAAATTTTTGTAGAACACTGGGTGACTCCACTTCCCTTTTTCATTTTTATTTTAAACATTTCCTCAAGGAAGAAAGCAATCTTTGAACAGATACTCTTTATTAAATAAAGACCTTCTCTATGGAATGTTCTAGATTAAAAGAGGTTAAAGAGATGTGACAACTAAATGTTATGCTGATTGGATCTGTACTGAAGGGGCAAATGCTATAAAGGACATTACTGGGTCAACTGATAAAACTGGAATACAAACAGAAGATTACATAAAAGCATTGCATCAAAGTTAAATTTATTGACTTTGATATGATACCATGGTTAATTAAGAGAATATGTCTAGTTTCAGGAAATATGTACTGAAGGATTTAGGAATAAAGGGATATGATGGGCCGGGCGCGGTGGCTCACGCCTGTGATCCTAGC